GGTTGCGATCCGTTGCCGGTCACGAAAAAAGACAAAAAGACAAAAAAATAAAAATAAAAAAGAATTCATAGTTTGTACAGAAACTGTCACAAAGTCTTAAGAGATTTATAACAGACTACTGTTAACCCAGGGACTACAGTTTACCAGGTATCTAAGAATAGGTAAGGGCTCAGGAACTGTCCCCAAACATGGTGAAGTATTCTGATTGCACGTTCTGTGGGAACCCTGCAAGTAATACAGAGACTTGGAAGCTGAGATGGGGTGAGATGTCCAGTTTCTCTGCTTGGCCAGAGGAATATCTACATGGTCTTTCTTTTGGACACTGTCATGTTAGAAAGTTCTGTCTTTAAATGCCAACCTTCACATGGCTCCCCAAAATGAAGTTGGCTCTCATTTCTGCTTTCTTTCCTTTGGGAAGATGCTTAGCCAGAGTGGGACTTTCTGACTATCCTAAGGACCTAGGTTTTCACTAGTTTCTCTAAATGTCTGTATGAAAAATATACTGTCCATGTCCATATGCAAACATAAGCCAAGGGATAGGAATTTTAGCTACCACAAACCAAAAGCCATTGTGTCAACTTACATAATATTATTAACACCTTCACAGAGAACAATTTTAAGTAAAAACTAGTATACCATTGGTGTTCACCAAGCAATAAGGTTGTGTGTTCTTGTTTCACTTACTTTGCAAGAGCACTGAAGGAATGGCTGAACGATTTGGCTGCCAAGTGTAACAGAGTCTGTACAAAGACCTCTATTTTCAATGGGTTAAAACTGAATCCTTCATCTGAAAAATATTCCACAGTAAGACAGAAAAATATAAGTATAGCAGTTCCTTGGTGCCTCACCTGGAATGCTAACTACACGGCATGCTCACATTAAGATACTAAGTCAGACATTTGGGTAACGTCTTTCAGTACTAATAAACAATAAAAGACCATCACTGATAAAACTCCAAACAAAAAACTAAGCATTATCATAAGATTATTCTTAGTCTTATGAAACTTTCCTCTAATTCTTCTATATGATCCATTACTTTAAAAAATACCACATAGATTTTCTTATTCAATTCTCTATATGATGGCAAGATAATTTATAATTACAACCCCCCCCAAAATAAACCCTTAACTCTTACGCCTATGTCTTAAGATGTCTGACAATGTCTAAATTTAATATCTCATTCTGACTAATGCTTTCTAAATACATTTTCTCT